ATAAAACTCGTACAAATTTCATTCTCAATTTCCTTCTGGAGTGAGCGGCGTCAATGACTCTGCAACATGCAGAAGCTCATAACTTTGCTCAAACTGGTCCAAATCAGATAATTTTTTTTTAATTGGTCCCTGAAATAAGACAAACATGAATATCAGAAGACTAACCATAAGCAATACATTGTATACTCGATCTGGTGGGTGCAAATTATAAACCACAGCCTCTACTGGACTCATCAACTGAAAAACACACACTGAAGATCTAACCTGTAGAAGTATAGTGCATCGGAAGAGAAAGGTAAGGGGAATCCTTTTGTTCCTTCGTCGTTCTTCCTATCGTCAATCAACATCAGCAGATTATTTTCCACCTTGTAAAGCTAACGACACGGAACTACATTCAGCTCAAACAGAGATCCTACCTGTTACTCATACACTTCAACTTCGGACAGACCGAATAAGCAGAAGCCAGGCAGCTCGTTGATGTTCCCACTGCAGAACTTAACAACGATCACAAACAAAACTAAACCTGAAATATACTTTTAGAATCACCTGGAAAGAAAACAAAAATACATTTGAACTGTCAAGTTTCATCAGAAACAAGTGGATAGATTAACTCGGTGTTTGCATATGATAACCGCTTCTTACAAAATCTGAAAAGACCAGAATGAGCCTTTCCTTTCTCACCTACAAACATAGAACGACCAACTCAGCAATGGAAGAAAGCTAATGATTCTGCGTGGAGCTGCTCAACTCTTATCATTTTTCTAGAGCTGATTCCTAAAACGACAGTGATAATCACATAAGAACTAACCTCAAGAAAACAGTTGTAAGAATTGAGTAAGAAGGCACGGTCGGTAAGTCTGGGGGCCCTCAGGCATCGGTAGCACTGGGAGGGTTGGGAAAGGGGTATCCTTGTCCTCCATCGTCGTTGATGTGATCCTCCATCTAACAGTAGCAGATAAAACTGTATTTGTAAATCTTAAAAGAAGCTATAAGCTCATTCTCATCTCTCCTTCTTACCTGCTACTCATTCACTTCAAGTAGTCCTAATTGGACGAGGAAGCAGTGAACACATCTG